GTGAAGGTCATGAGTGGGTCAGGTAGCTCTCTCAACCACTGTTTCACCAGCCCGGTCACTGTGTGGATGGGATAGTCTTCAAGGCAAACCAGATGAGGATCTAAATGTATGAACAAATCAAATTAGTATGACAGAAGCTTCAACAAAGACAATAAATTGGAAAGATATCACACAACATTCTCCAATCCCTGCAGTTCAAAACTGAGCAGGAGTACAGGTCAGAAAGTATATAATCAAATTAGCTGTTGAACTGATTGCAGATTTGTTGACTCTACATGAACCAAAAACTGTTTTTAAAAAAATCAACATCTTCAATGTCAGCACAAATAATAAATAAATAAATAATACAAGTGAAATATTTTTTTTCACAGAGACACCAAAAAGTTAAATGTCTTTAAGCCCTAAGATTAATATGGCAAGTTTTCTGCATGGAGCCTCATCTCTAAGAAATAATTATCATGTATAAAAAAAATAAATAAAAAAAAGTGTAAATTTATATAGTTATATTGGCCCCTGCCCTCCATCTGAAAGAATGACAATCAAATTCTATAACATACTGTGACCTATGCCCATGCAAGTACTGGTAGGTCACCTGTTTCAAGTTTCTGGTGCAGCTCTTTCATTCGATTGGCAGACCCTGATTTGCGGTAAATGCCTTCTGTGTAAAGACCATGCATTTCCACATGTTCCAGCATCATCTCCAGCACCATGGGCACAGGGCTTTTATCATTCACCAGGTGTCCCACATGGACGCCAAAGTGTAGACCACCAGATTCCTCATCCCCCTGTGAATATACAATAAATCGTTAGTAACCGCAACAACAAAAAATTAACAGATTAAATTTACACAGATGCACCTTTTTGGCACAGAACGTGTTGCAGTCAGTGATTATTTTGTTGAGACACTTTTTGTGGCATACCATTTTACAACCTGCCAGAAATGAGCAAAAATAAAACAGTCAATGATACAGTAAAAAGCACTCATGCTAAAAGCCCCTATAAAAAGAAAAGTATGTAAACTCACTGCTGCACATGTAGGCTTTCTCCATGCCCCAGATGTATGAAGTACACTGGTCACATGACTGCATAATGCTAACCTGATAGTTGATGAAAACATGATCCAAGGGGCTCTCCATCTGATAAACAAACAATTACTTTGCAAATGAATACAAAACAAATAAAATAAAATGGGGCAAATGCTTTTTGGCTTACACTTTTGTCTTTTTTCCGCCGTTTTTTCCTTGCTTTTGGCTAAAATAAAAAAACTGAAATTACTAATTGTAACATGGTAAATGGTCACATTTATATAACACATTTCTACCTACCACGTACTCAAAGCTTTATAATATACACACACATCCATTCATACACCAGTGTATGCAGACAGTGGGCGTGAGTTGAATTAAGTGTCTTGCCCAGGGACACAACAGCAGCAATCATCTGCGGCAGCTTAATCCAAAGTGCTAACAGTTGAATTTGAGTGCTCTATTTACTATGTTTTTGCAAATAGCAGGATTTGAACTGCCAATCTTCAGATTAGAGGATGAACCACTGTTGTAGGAATCACCTTGACTGGCTCCGCCTCCTCCTTCTTCATTTCTCCTCTGATAAACCCATCCAGCACTGACTGGAACAGGTTCACCACCAGCTGCACCTCTGCCTTTTGCTTGTCATCTGCCAGGTGAAACACTTTATTTTTGTAGCTTGTCATCAGGTCCTTGTAACCAATCGTGGGTTTCTGGTAGGGACAGAAAGATGAGCAAGAATCATACAGAAACCTCTGAATCTAGTGTTGCCCCAAAGGAGACTCACCGAGAGGGAATACATGGCTTTGATGGTCTCTCTAAACTGCATTGTGGCAGTTACAAAGATGGCTTCAGTGGCAGAAAGAGATTTCCCTCTAGAGCGGAAGTCGTTTACCTACACCAGAGATCAAGTTTAATGTTTGTTGAAAGAAAATTAAATTAGAGGACCTGAGGAAAATACCTGATTGCCTAAGAATTCATCCAGGTGGCGCAGTTCATTGGCGTTTGTGATTTCTCGGTCCAAAGAGGCGTTCCACTGCTCAGACACTCTTGTTGCACGGCTGATTTTTATAGTGGGATTGCGACCTAAAGCTTTCCCTGAGCGGTCCCCATGTGACTGAGAAAGAGTGCGGGCTGAATATCCTAAAAAGAGATTAGTTATTGAACAGTGCTGTCAAACTGAACCATGGAGAATAGTGGAGGATCAGTACGAGTATTTACACGGAAAACAAGCTGTTAAGATTATCCCAGTCCTGGGAATAATAAAGGGAATAACATGTGTTTTCTTTTCACATCTCAGTTTCAGGCCTGTGGTAGAACTTAGCTGTAGTTAATGTAGGTGTAGAGTTAATATTTTATTACTAACAACTGAGAAGACAGACCATTTTAACGTTTGAGTCAACGCCATTGCAATTTTTGAACAATAAAAGTGTGTTCATATAAATAATTAGTTTACCTTCTCCTCCAAATGACTTCTCACTGAAACTAGGTGTGATCTCTCCATCATCAGGAGTCTGAACTTCTTTCTGGGGTCGTTTCTTAAGAATCTTGCTAAGGAAGCCACCAGACCTGAACACCACATAATGAAAATGATCAAGTCTTTGGCTAAAAACATAATAACTATTTTGACTTGAATTTGTCATCACCGGTTACTGCTTGACCCTAAGGCAGTCCAGTGCATTACCTGTCTGGTGTGGATGGGATGGGCTGGGATGGATCTTGGTGACCCGAGTCCTGATGTCGCCGTCTAAATGAACCACCCATTGAACGTTCTATGTGGCTGTCTGTGTAATTTAACTATAAAAAAGAAAGGTTTAAAAAGTGTTGTAATTGTAATTTGATATTTAAGTTTATTTTAAGTTTTTCATTACCTCACGGGGAGACATTGCTCCAGCCCCCTCTGAAGTTGGAGATAAGCTGTCAATAGATGAAGATGCTGATTCCAGTCTGTAAACATAGTTAAACCAAATATTAGGGCTTTATTGGCTTTATTTATGTTGCAAAAAGAAAATTAATAAAATCCATGATTTTACTGAGAAATTACATTGACTAACATATTCCATTCACAATGGATTAAAATTACATTTAAACAGAGAAACAGACTTACAACTGTCTTTTCAAAGCCCCATTTCTTCCTGCTTGAGGGGTAATAGTGTCATAGTCATCACTTCTTCTACCTTTCCATTTCTCTGGTTTCTCTTTTATTGCCCCAGGCCGACGCTGCAGGTTAACAGCTCCAGCACTTTCACCGAGCCCATTTCTGTCATGATCAGGGGCCTGCAGGAATAATGTAGATGGACGAACAGGAGGAGCCTGTGTAGGTGACGTTTTTTCCTCTTTCTTACCCCATCTGTCATCTTTTATTTTCTGCACCACAAATGTATACTGGTCTATCTCTTTGCTATTGGCTCTCTCTCTGAGCTTAGAGGTTTCTGGAGTTTTGACCTTTGGACTTGTGGTCTGATCCTTATTGGTAGGTGGTGAAGAGGAGGCAGCTGCTCGTTCTGTCTCCCTACGATTATGTTCAAGTCCCCTTCGTCTCCTCTTTTCTCTCTTTTCCTGAATTGCTGTATGACTTCTGTTGTTACCATCAGGAGATCTCACTTGTGCATTTTCAGCATTAGCAGGTAAGTGAGCAATGTCTGTAGGAGCCACTTGTGAGGGGGGTTGGAATTGAGTGGAGGCTGTTGGAACTTCTAGTGTTACCGTGTACAAATTCTCCTTATTGTCCTCTTTGCCTGGCCGCTGTGGGCCTGCCTCAGCTTCTGTACCTTTGATTTTCATCACATGACCAGACAATGGTAGCTCCTCTCCTCCCGTTTGCTCTTCAACCTGCGAGCGTGTTGTCTCCATCCATCCCATCTCTCCATCCTCCACCTCCTCAGTAGAGTCCTGTGTCTCATCTAGTGTCTCCTCAGTGACTAGCTCTATGTCTGGATCCTCTCTGGTCTGAGGCTCTGATCTTCCTCTTTCCTCCTCTTCCTCAAGCTTTTTCCGAGCCTCTTCCTCTGCGGCTTGGATTCTTCTGGCAAGCTCTTCTTCTTCTGCTCTTCTGCATGCCTCTTCTTCAGCAGCTTTCCTCCTCCTCTCCTCTTCTTCTTCTAACCTCCTCCTCTCCTCCTCCTCCTCCTCTCTCCTCCTTCGCTCTTCTTCCTCCTGTCTTCTCTGTGCTTCTCTCTCCTCTTCCTCCTTTTTGCGTTTTTCTTCACGCATGGATTGGCACCTACAGAACAATGCATTATTATTGTAAACTGTTTGAAAACACACAAAATGACCCTTTATGACTTGGAAACAGTTTTGGGAATTATTATTTATGTCATTTAAAATTCACTGTCAGTGTATTGTATGAAATTTACTTGACGCGGCAGTATTTGTTGGCAGTAATGAAACTCTAAACATGCATTCACACACATCCCTCTAAACTGGAACTATTTGGGACTTGACAGAACTAAAGCAGCACAAGCACAAGATCAAATCAAGACTACATCATGGATAAACTAGGCTCAAACCATGACAAGTGCGATCTACTGGTACCTCTACAGGAAAATATGTAAAATGAAAACACCAATATCCTTGAAAAAATAAAACAACTGCATAAAAATGTAATGTAAAGACTTGCCTCCTGCGTGCAGAGTGACCCCTGACGAGCGCTTGTATTTTAGTTGCACCTTTCAGTTGGCGTTTGTACTCTTTCCTCTGTAGGTGCCCCCTCCACAGAGCCTGAATTACAATGGCAGCACGTCGCCTCCGCTCCTCCTCACAGTACCGCCGCCAAGAACGCTGACAAAAATGACAAAAGGGTGTAAAAAATCCCTCCAATAGGATATATAGAGTAGGTTTATAAACCTTGTCTCACCTGTATTACAACAGCTGCATGTCTCATGTCAAGAAAGTCTTTCCTCTGCAGTCGAGCTTTGACCCAGAGTTGGAGGAAGATGATCTTTCGCATGACCTCTTTGTGGAGCGTGTCCTGAAGTTGTTGTCGCTCCAGCTCTTTCAAAAACACCTATTTAGAGATTTATATGCATGAACAATTAATAAAAAAAAAGATTAAATGAACTATAAAATATGAGCAGATGTAATATTAAACCTTAGTTTTTCCAATCTGGTAGGTGGTAGGATCCAGGCCCATCTTCTCAAGGAGAGCTGAAATGATTTCTTTTGATGCTGTGGCATTCTTGGGCAACAAAACTCTGAACTGTGTAAAGAACTCCTTCACAAAAAAAGAGAGAAAAAAAAGTAAATATTAATACATTATGAAACCGACTCACTTTTATCCAACAATAATATCTCATACCTGAAATGTATATTTGGCTCCATAACCTGACCTTCGGATTCGAACAGTCTCCAGCATTCCTGTGTATCGGAGCTGCTGAACAACTAAGGTTTCATCCAGATACATCTCTTTCTGCATGTACAAAGAATATTTATATATTTAATAAGACTTCTCTCAACTTTGCATTGCAAAAACATATATTAAGTACAGGAGCATTTTACCTTTTCTGCATTGGAGCGAATACAACGAATAAAGTACGGTTCTGCTCGGTTCAGCGTTTCTAAAAGCTTTGTCAAAGATGTCTGGGAAAATATTTAGAAAAGCATTAACTAAAAATACAAACAAAAATTACATTGTCTTTCTACCCCTCATAATATGATAACAATACCTGAAACTGGGCACTGATGCTAGGAGGCTTTTTCTTTTTGTTCAGATGAAGAAGAGATTTGGTAGTGCGATCGTGTAGTGTCAGACCAACAATGAACTTAAGAGACCGAGAATCCAGTAATCTCTGAAAAGTGGTATGAAAATTAAAATGCTTTTAAAACTTTAACTCAGTAAAAAACAGTATTAAATTTACCTTGGGGATTACTTGCTTCTGTTTGGCGTTTTTGTTCTTCCTACAAAAATGGAAAATAAAAAGTAAGTCTCAAAGATGTTATTGATGAGCTTATTTTGTGAACGGCGAAAGTGAAGCCTGGTTAGTACAGACAGGAGTGGTCTTCATGCGTTGTCAGTCAGTGAATGCACCTGTGAGGGGCTCAGAGCTGATGTGAGCAAGAGAATACGTACAGACATTACAGCAAAGATGGAGAGTGGCACTGCAGAAGTCAATATGACCATACAGATCCGCAAGACGTGCTTCAACGCTAACTAATCAAGGTTTCTATATCTACCACAGCTTTCTCTAACAGACTGGTGAAAATAAGAGACATGCTGAAAGACTACAGCCTATAATATTTATATGTAAGGCAATGTAGATACCCAGTACACTTAAACATGCACTGTGTAATTGCTCTTGTGACGGTATGCCACCTTTTTGTCTCCATGGAGTTAATACTTCACTTATGATGTTCCACCATATGGCATTAAACATAAGGTGAAGTTACAGGTAAAAGCTGTGGAGTGACCAACCCACTCATAGTAGAATGTATGTTTTCTGGAAGATTTTCTGAGCAATTAAACATCTGTAATAATGGCAAGATAGACAAGTTTAATGCCATAGTGTGGAATATTTTCAGGCAAAATGTCAATAGAGACAAGCAGTTGATGGACCATCAACTAGAAAAGATACACAGTGCACCTTTAATAGTAATGCTCATGCAGCAAACAGTAAAAGTATTCAGAGCATTACAACAATAGAACTAGCTAATAAGTAACCAAGCTTATAATGCAGTATCTAGTGAATATGTGATAATATAAAGCAATGGGCTGGTTGAAATGAGAAGCATTAATGGGAGTGGTTTTTGGTCTGATACAAGTCTGACTGCAGACTCACTGGAGAACGTGCCGGGGGAAACGGAGGCGACCCCAGGACTGCAGCAGCTTTCGAGGGTCCTCAGCATCCAGCTGCAAGTTCTTAATGGAGCTGATGATCTGTGCATGCATGTCTCTGAGTGAACCACATACAAAGTGGGCAGGAGTGGGGGGAGCGACCAGGAGCAGAAGGGGAGGGGGGCACATGGGTGATTCATTTTAATACAAAATAAGCCACAGAGTGAAGAAGTAGTAAATTGTTATGTGTTGTCTGGAACCTCAGAAAAACCCATCACCAACATTGTTATAATACAAACAAACACATACTGCAGGATAGTTGGGGGTCTGCTATCAAAAGGCTTTCTTACTCCACTCATCCGTGAAGAATTACCCAGAAACCCTATCTCAGACTTTTCATGTTTATATTAGATAAGTCACAAGACACACGTGACCACCCAACCATGCTGCTTTATCCCAGAAAGAACTGAAAACACACAAATACAGAAGAAGCGACTGGGGCTTGACAGAGCTGTATTCACAGTTTGTCCCCTTTGGTAGTTAACATGCAGGGTGTCACGGGCTGTCACTTTCCATGCTGGGCCAGTTATTGGCTGTGAGACTGTAAGCTGTTATTTGTGTCATTTTTTTAAAAATTATTATTATTTGGCCTTTTTAGATTGGTATTACGTCTGACATTGACCTGGTGAAGTTAATTGGGAGAATTTTTGGTCTTATTGCTAGCTCATGCAATTTTGTTTATACTTACCCTGATTAACAATGAATCTCAGAAACCAAACAGAAGAAAATATATGTTTTATTTGTAATTAGTAAGGGAAATATCTATGCTGCTGCTTATAGAAGCAGCAAAGGAAAGAGTTAGTATTTGTTTTGAGGAAGTTATTCCAGTCAGCTTCACTTGTATATTCAGAATATGTATTGTATCTTTCATCCAGATGAGTAATTTGCATCATTTTAATAATATGACGATACACATAAAAGTATTTTGGTGCTCATATAACATATCCATCTACATTTAAAAAGTAAAAATGATCATTGTAACACTGATAATATTTTCTAATCAAATTTCAATGTAACATTCCACTTGTATGGAAAAATATTTTAAAAGAAAAAAGTTAAGACATTATGAAAATTATAATAATGAAAAACTTTTCTTCTGCTTGGCCCCTTTTGTTCATGTTGTTCATTTGACAACCAATTTGCAGTACTTACTTCTTATTCTCATAGCTAGCAAAGATGTCCTCAAAGGCCTCTAGAGGGCGCTCCTCAGAGTGATCAAAGCAAAAATCGAGCATAGAAGCTCGTCTGTGAAATGGAGAGGAAGAGGAGAAACCACACACACTGGGGTCACCAAAAAGTGGGAAGGGAAAGTCCAGGACCAAATTAAGGAAAGGTGGAACTGATTTTATCTTGTTTTGTATCCGAACAGAATTGTCCAGCCTAACCGCATTAAACACAAGTAAAAATCAAAGACTTTGTACTACTCCCATTAGAATATAAAAGTAATAATATACTCTTAAAAAGTAGGACCCAAAGTTAGTAAACCAACACACTGCACTCTATAGGACAAACCTTGGAAATCCAGGGAACAAAACACACACACACACACACACTGCTTACTTGTACATTCGTTCAATCGGAGTATTCGATCGCTGGAGCTCCCCTAGAGGAGTTCTGGATGCAGGTCTGACGACACCTAAAACCAAAACAAATTTATTAGAACCAAGACTGAAGTTAAATACAATCAGGTTATGTTCATGTACTAGAATTGTATGATATTTTTTGTGTTGAATCTTTTCATTATTTGTTAGAAATTGGCTCCAACTGGCCAAGTTCTTTCAACAGACAATTATATTTTGGGGGTTGCATAATGACATGTCTGAAGCTATTGTGAAAAAAATAATTTCACTTATGTTTATTTATACTGATAAGATGCAAAATGAAACTTTGTGTCAGTTTGTGGTTTACTTAGATAAGCCCAGTAATTGCCGAGATATAAACATAAACTAGGTCAACAAATCTATGAGATGACAGTTAAAAGTAAATTCTACCATAGACTTCAGACCTATTTTCCACCTCAATTTTAAACTATTCACTATTCAACTATTTCAGAAGTTGCCATGGGCACCACCATCATCATTTGGGGTTGCACGGAGCTGCTGCTCATGAGCAAATAAGTTCAATACAACTATAAAGCAATTTTAAAGTCCCCCAGAGAATTGGTGAAGTGTTCACTTATTGATGCACATGAAAATTGAGCATTTTATACAAATTAACCTTCTATATTTCATATTTTAGCAGCAAAATTTTCCCAAATTCTCATTGAAATTAATGGGATCCCAGTTTAACCGGAAGTGTCACCACAAGAAAGCACGGTTCAGGAGTATTTAGAGACAAAAGTGGGCAGGGCAGAATAAGGTGAATAGAGATTGTTGAATGCTGTGATCTGACATAAACCCAACCTATGAATTGTGAGTTGTCACTGTGAAGTGCACTGTGTACCTGAAGTCTTGGCCACCCATGCACGTCCAGCTTCATTGAAAGCAGCGAGTGCCCTGATAGTGGCACGTAGAATCCCCCATCGAAACATCGCCACAGGGTCCATCCCAATGAGCTGACGGACATATGAACGATCACTGCTTCTCAACAAGGCTACAATGTCTGGCCGCATGTGATCTGTGTTCTTTTCTCGGAAGTCCTGGTATGAGAGAGAAAAATAATTTAGTACACAACATAAACTATGCTAAAACAACGCATTGTGATAATTGTTCTACCTTTATTTTATATTTTACTCTCCCAGCAAAGTGTTGAATGACAAAAGCTGGCTCCATAACTGGTGTGGGCACAAAGTACTTGTTTCCCTGATGCTGTTGCTTAAATTTGGCCAGTAATGTTTCTTCTGTGGCATGTGGAAAGCTGAAACATAAAAACACATAAATACAAGATCTATTCACAAAGACAAAAGTCGTCAAAATGTAGTTTTCGTACTTGCTCTCCTCGTCCAGCAAGTAAAGCAGACCAGTGGGCTTCTTACTGATGAGGTGAATACAGCCCACATTGTCAGTGTAGTCGATGTTGTGCCAGGTGATGCCCTCTGCTTGGTACTCCTCCTAAATCATACAAGAGATATTATTTAGCAAAATGCACCTAAAATATGCCTGTGTACTGTATAAATATGGCTGGGTAATATGACAATTTATAGATTACATACATAGATTGGGGAGTCAGGATTTTTCAGAAAACAAATACAATGGCTTTAATGGCCATAATTACACTATTTCTGGTCTATGTTATATTGTTGTTTCCTCATCACAAACATATCTGGCGTTGTGCTTTTTTCATAGTTGTTTCATCAAGTATGAGGTTCCCTCATACTTAATACACAGACCCTGCAAACATAGTCACTAGACTCATTTGGCTCATTTCCAGTGTTGGGAAGGTTACTTTTAAAATGTAATCCCCTACAGATTACAGATTACACACCCCAAAATGTAGTTTGTAACGTAATCCATTAAATTACTTAAAGTGAGTAATGTAATCTGATTACTTTGGATTACTTGATATTGTCATGTTTTTTTAAACGACATGAATGTAGCAACCACATCCTGAAAATTCTTGTTTGTTGTCTTCAAATTGTCTGAGCCCAAGTCTCCATGAATAAGCAACTGTTTACTGTAGAGAAACAAAGACCATGATATCTTAATATAAGAGGTTTTGTCTGTTAAAAGACAGTAACAAGATAAGCTTTTCCTTCACCATATTAAAAATATTATTGATAGAGAAATTATTTTTTATATGAGATCACCTTAAATTATGTCAACCTACTGTTAGGTGTCATGTTGTTTAGACCTGGTTTAGTCCAGATTTTTAGACCTGGTTTACTCCTGATTTTAGACCTGGTTTAGACCTGGTTTAGACCAGGTCTAGACCAGGTCTAGGCCAGGTCTTTAGTTCTGGTTTAGTCGTGGTTTAGTCCTAGTTTAAACCTGGTTCAGTCCTGCTTTAGTCCTGGTTTAGTTCTGGATTAGTCCTGGTTTAGTCCTGATGTTAGTTCTGGTTTAGAGGCGCACAGGAGGAAGCGCAGTTTACGCGAGAAAACACGGTTCACACGCGGCGCACGAAACGGCGGTGTCCGCGCTGTAACTACGGAAGGAGACGTGGTCCGCGGGTTCTCAGGTTGATGACGATGATGAAGGTGTGTGTTTGTGTGTGTTTGTGTGCACGTCCACTCATGTCGCAGGTCACTATAGGACAGTGGTGCAGATATTATGAGTCTATGCAGGTTGTGTTCACCAGTGCCAGTAGCTCCTGTTTCACATTTAAGTTGTAGGCGATTTTATATTTGTTTTTTTATATATATATCTCACATCGGGAGAAGAATTTCCAAGACACAAATGCATTTTTACCAATGCACTGCTGCTTCCACTGTGTGAATGACACCGCCAACTTTAACATGACGTTTACATCGCTCTTATTGCGCGCGTTCTGTTTGGGTTTCCGGCAATGAGTGGAATTACCGAAATAAAAAAATAAATAAAAGGGATGTAGCACAAAATGTGAAAACAGGAAATACCGCCTTGTAATCCACTTATTTCAGCAAAGTATCTGTAATCCAATTACCACTCATTGAAACAGTAACTGTAACGGAATACAGTTACTCATAATTTGTACTCTGATTACGTAACGGCGGTACATGTAATCCGTTACTCCCCAACACTGCTCATTTCAGCCCTAGAATTGCCAGTCTCTATTGAACTAAAGGTAAAAGGTAGCTGTTAACATGAAAACTACTGCTGCGTGACATCACAAGGTGGAACAGTACATTTTGAGCTTCGGAGATGTAGACAGATTAATAATAAAGGATTACTCAAATGTTTAAATAAAACAAAACACAACTCCATGTAGAGAAGGTATTATAACATGACTTAAAGCGCACAAGAGTTAATTTTGCGTAATATAGGACGTGAAATGTGAATTTCCTTGAATAAAACAATCCAAACATTTTATCATTGACATTTGATCTTATTTCTACCTCACAAATCTGAACCCTGCCCCCAACCACATGAGTGGCGCTTCCCTATGTATAAATATGAACCTACTGACAATTGCCAGGATAATGTATGAACTGAATAATAATAATTCAATTGTAGTAATTTCCAGGAATTATGCTGTTGTTCCCATGGCAAGGATGAGTCACAATTTTGATAACACAACACAGAATGCCATGGTACAATTTAGTATAGCTTTGTGTGAGAAATAAATAAATAAATAAAACCCATTGTCACCTGCTCCAGATTGAAGATGTGATGGTTAAAGTAATACTGGAGTTGTTCATTTGCATAGTTGATACAAAACTGTTCAAAACTGTTGTTCTCAAAGTCCTCAAAGCCAAAAATGTCCAAGACTCCAATGGATAAGCACTGGGGAAGAGTAAAAAATAAAACAATGACGTAACAGTTTCAGAGGCCTCCATTATGTTTTATTATGTATGCAGCTTGCTATGAGGTAACTTACCGGGACAGATTCCTCCATGTCTTTCTTGTTGAGCAGAGCATGATTAATGCGGAGAACAATCCAGTCAAACAGGGCACTGTACAAAGACTTTGCCATAGAGTCTCTTGCGGTGATAGCCTGAAACAAAATACACAAACACAAGTTATATTTGAATTATAGACAGTGTTGTGCAAGTTCACACTTTTCATGAACTAGTTCAAAGTTCAGTTCACACTTGTTCAAAGTGAATAGTTCATGTTCATAGTTCACAATTTTAATTTCGAACTAGTTCAAAGTTCAGTTCATTTTATATTTAGATGAGATCTGTAAATGAAAGGCTGCTTTTATTTTTCAAACTGACTTCTAGTTTACAACAACTTTACAAGATACCAGGACTGAACCAGAATTGAACCAGGACTAAACCAGAACTCAGCCAGGACTAAACCAGGACTAAACCAGGTCTAAACCAGGTCTAAACCAGGACTGAACCAGGACTGAACCAGGACTAAACCAGAACTCAACCAGGACTAAACCAGGACTAAACCAAGACTAAACCAGGACCAAACCAGGACTAATCCTGGACTAGAACTTGGAATCTAGGACCGCCCCTGAGAGAACCCCGAGTGCGATCGGGCGTCAGCTGCGTTTATCTCGGTGGAGCGCGGACTTCTGCGTCGGTCCTTTCGCTCAGGATCACGGTCTACGCGGGCGCACCTCCGGCGTTTCACTGCTGCTGATATCGCGGTGATTTTAGCAAGTTTGTATGAAGAAAAACGAAAACCCACCATTTCAATCCAGGTTAAAAAAGCATTATGACGCGCGTTACTGACATATGTACCAAGTAAAATAATACGCGCGCAGAGCAGCACAGGACGTGCGTGTAGATTTCAGAAAATAGGATCCATCCTATTTTTTGACGCTCTACACGAGCGTAGGCGCGTATCCCCGTCAAAATGCACAGAGAGCATGTATCTATTTTTGTATTTGTGCATTTACCATCAGCACATTGTGCTCCCTGGGCAGTTGTGTATCATGTGAAAGAGCCCAGATCCACATACACTGTTAATTTGTGCTTTGAAATTTACCTTTGAAATCCTTGTGTTTGCCGTGGTCAGACTGTACAGAAGGTAAATACAAGCAGCTAAACGCGACTTCTCATTGAGAGACACAAGAGCCCGTACGTTCCACTAAAGCTGCCGGTGGAGTCGCCTTCGCGTTGACACGCGGCTGTGGTTTCGCGAGGTGAAGTGCGAGCAGATCGTCACTCGTCAAATTCCGACGTTTAACTAAACCCCAACAGTGACGTACGTCGTTCATCACACATAATTTGAACAAATTCACGTTCAAGTTCTTGATTTACAAAAGTGTTGCGTTCAGTTCAAAGTTCACTGAAAAATGAACGTGTTCAATGAACGCGTTCTTTTGAACTCGTTCATGCACAACACTGATTATAGAAGTGCTAAAAATTTGAAATGTAGTGATATACAAATGTTACAGTATGATATGGTCACGATATTAATTTCATGATACAATATTTATTGCAATATTTTAGACATGCTAACAGAATTGAAGAAATGCCACTTTTTCCTTTTAAAAAGCCTTGCCAAGCTGTTCATGCTATATTTCTATCCTATTCCAAAGAATTACCACTAAGATAGAAGAGTTCACTTCATAATGTCTACATTGAAAAGGAACAAAATATCAAGCATAGTTTAAGTAGTTCTCTGTTTTTAGCTGTTGCTACACCATAAGAATTATGGTATAATTTAAGCAAAGAAGCTTATAATATGATATATTGTGACTACTCTCAACATTATTGTGAGACTTTTGACGGTATCACGATATCGCAATATTTTGGTTATTGTTACATCCCTACTAAAAATAGATGCTACCCATATATTTAAGGAAGCTGAATGATAAAAACAGATGTATGTGATTTTAGGTAATTTTTATTTATTTTTTTTACCTCTGAATGGCTGTAGGGGAGGATCAACTTATCATTGACTGTGACCGTTTTCCTCTTGGTGAGTGCTTCAACCAGCAATTCCTCCTTGACCTAAGAAAATCAACAAGGATTAATGCTTTCATCTTAATACAGACACAGGCAGCAAGGACTTGTGTATCACCTTGAGCAGATCAGAGAGGGTAGCCAACACCTCTGGGGGCCCCACTTCCAGACCCTCATCCCGACCATTTGACTTGCGTATGTAGGTCACGTTCCCCAGATATAAAATGGCCGAAAGAACGGAGAAGATCCTGAGACAACAATATGGTCATAAGATACATAGGACAGAAAAGAGCGGGATCCTTGTCAGGCGTGTCATGTGCTCACACTGTGTTCAAAGACTCAGGCTGAATAGAGGCACTATAAAGCACTGGCCTCCAAACTGCCACAGATACAGTAGCACACATAGCATGCAGGTTTTGTTGTTTAACTTCTACTGTTTTCTTTCTCTTTACCCAACACTAATTTTTAACTATGTCAACTTGTCTCCATGGAGATGTTACAGCTTTGTCTGACATGTCCCACAGGACAGCATTAATCTTATCCATCCTGCATTTATTCAGTTACATGTGTTTTTATTGCTATTGCAGCCCCCGTCTTGTAACACCTGGTGGTATCAGTTGGTGGCTTGTTTTAATGGAGGATGTTTAATGCCCCGCTATGGAACATTGAAAGAAAAGCAATAACATCTCCACAGACCATGTGACGGACCATCCTCCAGAAAAGTTACACAGTGGACTTTTTTTTTTAATTTAGTGACCACTCACTGTTTCTTGGTGGGTGGAAGAAACCCCACCATCTCCATTGCCTGCTGAAGTCGTTCAAAATCATGGCGCAAATCTTCCTCATCTTCAATCTTAAAATTTAGCTGGAAAAAAAGTTGTGCACAAATGAGTACACAATATAATTTAAATTCAAAAGTATAATAAAACAAACAACTCAAACAACTATAACAAAGCTAAATAAATGAACCCTGTAAAGACAGAGCACCTAATTCTAGTAACTTGAAGTGAAATTATGAAAACAAAGAACATCTGAAAAAGAGGGAGTGACTTGTGATAAAGTGATAAAGACAAAATGTTACCTGCTTGAGGTAGAAATATTCTTCAGGAGGCAACAATTTAAACTCTTTTCTCTCTGCCTCTGAAGCGCCCAACAGCAGGTAGTAAAATACATGGTAATTCCTAGAGAAAAAAAAAAGCACACTGGTTAAATTCTGTACATTGTTATTTACTATACATAAGCAGTCATATATAAATAAAATCTTCTGGTTAATAATTGTATTCTAATTACCAGTGTTTAAAAAGATCTTCATAATTGCTATCTAAAATGAATACACAAGTGGTGCTTAGATGTGGACATTGGCTCATGTGTAAAATTGTACTATTCCCTATAGTCTATAGCAGGGGTGCTCAATACGTCGATCGCGATCTACCAGTCAATCGCCAAGGTCATGTGGGTAGATCACCGTGTCTTGTCTCAGACTCGCGTTTGGACTTAGTCTCGTCTCTCACTCAAGGTCTGACACTCAACAAGTGCGATCATATTTCATTACGGCCGCTGCTGTTGGCAATAAACTTGTATCGGGGTGCAGGAGCGTGTGGGGCGTCTCAATGCAGCCTGTGCGCTCAAGTGCAGCCCGTGGAGACTCTACGGCACATCACAAACACACACGCTCCCTATGCACGGCTCCTCTGCAACAGCATGTGCCCTCGTGTACTAGCGTGCATCACAGGGCAGGTTAAACTTCCTAAACATCCTACCTGTCCATCTGCCTCACGTCAGCACGCCGCCCCTCGCCTTTTCACGCTCTCACTCCTTCCTGCGTACAGCGAACATAAGCCCTTTCCACAGTGCGCGCTGATTAGAAGAGCAAGACGAAACGTGAAGCAAAAACGAGTCTAAATTTGTGTTCCAGTGTTGGCACAAAGCAGGTCTACAGCATAGAGCAGACCTACAGAACGGACCTACTGCCACATTTGGCTGAAGTTTGTCTAACAAAAGTGCACAAATGCATCTGTGTTTGTCACGAAGTGCGTTTGGTTTGGTAAACGTGCAGAGGCTGGTAAATATCACTGCAAAACCAGAAAAGAATGCAACTCCAGTTTGGAACTTTAAAAAACAGGTTTAAAAATCTTCTTTCACTTTTTTCACAGTTTTGTGTAAAGTGCCAGAGGAAGTTCTCTTAAAGAAGGGGTTCTCAAACTGTGGGTGAGGGTCCAAAAAAGGGGCACAGAGTGTTTCAGTGCAGTTTGTTTGGCTTTGTATTAGGTAGATCTTTATGACTTGGTCATTGTGTAAGTAGCTCGCATGCTGAAAAAGTGTGAGCACCCCTGGTCTATAGTATAATGTCTCTACTCTTACAGCTGTGTTCTACTGTGTTATATGGTAGTGAGGAGCCAGAGCACATCAAAAGTGATATATTTAATAGTTAAATTATTGTGTTAATTATCTATAGTTTGTTCAGTCCACTCAACAAGACTTATTTGTGTCTGGCTGTCTTTTATTAAAACCATCAAGCTGTCAGTCACTTGATCTCTAAATACTGGAGCTGAATGCTGTTTATATCGGTTGTCCGCTCATGGCTCATGTGGCAGGTAGGAAGACAAGCAACAGACTCACAGAGCGGTATTGTAAAAATTGACTGGCGTAATGAGTTTCCAGGGTTATCATGAGCAAACAATGACATCATCTAAGCTTACTCAGTGGCTAGACACAGAAGATGTATTGGCAGTGCTGTGCTCAGAATACAGGAGCAGGCCCAAGAATACACCCACATTTTTGGAAGGTAAGTACATTTTCCACCAGAACCTAAACAGGAAACCTTGATGACTAAGGAACCATAGACCCAAGTGCTTGATGTAATTTCCAGAGTTTTAATGGTGAGACTTCGGAGAATATGGGTACTATTAAGAGAGTAGATGACTAAACAGACTAAATAGCTAATGTATTTATAAAAAGCTGTGTGGATGCTAAACATCTACCAAAATACAAAATATGCATTTTATAACACTGTATATTCAGAATTCCTCAAATGTGTGTCATTCTGTCCTGTGTTGATTCCTTCACATAAACACAGGCCATAATTACCAGTACATTAAATACTAATTATTATATTACATAAAAAACACACACTTAGTAACTTAAATGTTTGTATTGAGTCAAAATATTATTTTATAATTCAATATGCAGAAAAAAAACTAATTTTGGTTCAAAGAATCTAAATAGATCAGCAGGTCAAAGGTCAGGACATCAGCTGTTGCTGCTCACCTCTCGTTCTTTTCTCTGGAGACAAGACGTGACTTCTCCAGAAGATACTTCTCCACCACAGCCCTGCAGACACAAAGGACAGAGGGAGACAACAATCAATAATCAGGAATTACTTAACTTAAAAGAGATGTGGGGAGGCGTGTGCTGGAGAAAAGCTGATTCACATATGAAATTATGTGAAGTGCAGCAAAGGATATTAAGAGTAATAAAACGTAACACTGGAGGTGACTAAAGAAATTGTTGGTCAACTAAAGCCATGTCCTGTTGACAAAAAAGCAGGCATGGCAAAAGCTCTCAATGTGTTTCCTCTAATAAGACAAAAGTAAAAAGCTAAATATCTTATTTACCTGACATGTTTGAGCGGTAGCACTTAGGTAAATAAGATATATAGCTTTTAACAATGTTTGTCTTGTTAGAAGAAACCCCAAAGTTTTTATATATAAATAGAAGACAACATTTTTCTACATATAATTGTGAATCATGACTTTAATCTTCCTTTTTACATATAAATACCAAAAAATACTAAATCTTCAGCTAATTCACTCACTAACTTGTAAATTGTTATAATCTAAATAAATTGATTAGTCAATTGTAGGGCTGGGGAATTAATTGAATTAATTAAATTAATTAGGGTAATTGAGAAAAAAATATATATATTATCGTGAAATTGAGAATTATTATAAAACGGGTCTTACTTGCAAAGCAGGGCAATTAAATAATTGGTATTGTAAAAAAAATCTCATTCTAATTTAAATGATTACAATTAGCTTACACCACAATTTCTTAAATAATAGGATATCATAAGAATGGAAATGTAAAGATCTTCCCTTGTTTGAAAGACGAGCAGTCCCTGCTCTGTCTTCAGTTGAAATTGAGTAAAACTGTCCAATGTGTGTGTTTAAAAAAAAAATCTAAATTTTATTTTTTGGCCATATTGCCCAGTCCCAGTCGACTAATACAAATTTTGATCGACCATCAACTGATTAATTGACTAAATGAATAAAGGACTACAGCCCTAATAAAATGTGCAGCCAGTGACTTCACATCAAATGGCAGACAGTGCTTTACTAAGCCAGTGCAACCTCAGCACCAATAAGGTTTACATATCAGACTCTATAAGTTAGCCACTGTTGTTTGCTTGTCATGAACAACAATGACGCTAGTCCTTGTGACATACCAAGAATAGAGAACTGCTGAAAGAAACACACTATTGCAGGCGTCTCTCTGGAGAAAAGCACAAATCTTGAGACAGGGGTTTGCACAATGATCAAGCTGAAAGTTGGACCATTTTGTTCCTTTTCACTTAATGCACCATTTCAGTAAAGTGTTCATCAATGAGCAGCTTCATAGCCCTGAGGAGTTAACATACCAGTGCTGACGACAAAGCTCTCAGTCAGTATGCCACTCCCTCTCAATAGTTTGAGGCGAGATTGGCATTACGGATATGACAGTATCCAATTATCACAATACAATATTACTATACAAAATTGTGGTGAGTCTATGTAGAAATAAAAAAGTCTGACAAACTTTTAGTGAAATTATTATTGTAACAGTCATATTACAATCTTACATACAATTAAACAATGTCTATGTGCTAGGGATGGGATAAGAAACAATTTCCATGAAACATGTCAAGAGACTTGGTCTGCAAGAATGATTTTTAAAATGTATTTATTTATTCAATATTTTACCAGGTAAGTCAGTTGAGAACATCCTCTCATTTACAATGATGACCTGGGTCGTCAATGAGTTTTAATAAATGAATTATGGGTTTCAATTCACAATTTTGTCTTAATAGTTTTTCATTATTTCATTTTATAGTTTTGCTGTCATTGTATGATTGCACTCTGGAACTACACCTTCTTAAGGAGTTACTCAGCAAAGTTAACCCTTTTTTGTACAAAGCAAATGTAAACACATGGTAAAAAAAAATCTCACAAGATTATTTTTCTCATGTCTGCACAGTCTTGTGGCAATTTTATCTTGCAAGATCTTGTCTCATCCTTACTATCTGAGCATGCAATTAGACATGTTTCATATTGTAACACCCCAAGCTAACATGCAAAGTATGATGAGACATAAATCCCTCATGAAAGCCAAGCTAGACTTTCACATTGATGTAAAATTTTCATACAGTTGTTGTTGGTTTGTCAGACAAAACATTTCTGCAACAGGTAAAAATCCCTCACCCCATTTATTAAAGATAAACACAGTGTCAAGGTCCGAGTTTTAATCATAAAATAGTGCACCATGCAGCTCAAAAAGAGTAAACTTGAAATAATTCAGAAAACGTGTGGCACTAAATCAACGTTCCCGAATTGGATTTCAAACCCCACTTAAAGCAAGCAACCTAATGAAACTAAATGGGCTCAGTGCCATTAGGGGATAATCAGGTTGGGACACCATTAAAGGCAAACACTGGAACACCAGCTGAGGTCTCACATTATTCTATGAGCAATTTTACCCCTTAACCCATTATTCCCCTTTAAGAGATTGAGCAGTAACCCCCCACCATGTTTATGAGAAAACAGGGAAGTGACAGCGCTAACCAAAGTCTGATGCTTTCGGCTACAGTCAGAGGGCTGAGAAACAGGAAGGTCATGAGTATTGTTAAAGTTTCAGTATGTATACGGGAGAAGGAATCACATGACTATGAAAAAGACCACAGTTATGGAAAGCATACAGCCCTGTTATTAAATGAAAACATTACAGTGTTTACTCACCCTCTGACAACACCACTCTCCAGGTAATTCACTTGGATGAATTTACCAAAACGGCTGGAGTTGTTGTTATGGGCAGTCTTAGCGTTTCCAAAGGCCTGAGATAGAGAAGAAAACATATAGTTAGAAGGCTCCCACACTATTTATGGTTTTACATTACCTTATATCAACTAAACAGGATGCACTGCTAAACACAAACATACAAATGCATGTGCACAAATGTGCACATGCATTTTATTTTGACCTCAGAAAATTAAAAAAGTAGAAGTGAATGAGATGTGTACACGTTAATAAGAGTAAATGTTTCAAATAAAGACAGAAAGGTCTCAGTGTCCCTTGTGGCCTGCAAACTAAAGTGCCCATCAATCTCTGAGAAATCTCTGACTCCCCCCCCCTTTCTCTCTCTCTACTCAAGTCTCTTTGCTTCATTATCTTGTGAGAATGTGTGCTTAAAAGAGGCAGAGGAAGAGAAACTATGTACAATTCAGAAATGATAAATGAGTCTGAAACAAGAGCTTTATAAATAAACAAAAAGCAAGTAATAGTCACTTTGGCAAAGGTATTTAAATGTAACTTTCAGTAAGTCCACATGTGTAGCCCGTCACATAGGCCTGTCACAATAATAACTATATCGACTTATTGTTCACTGAAAGCGGGAACAATAAATTTTGGGGCTCAGTATTTATCATGTGTACAATTTCTTTGCATTAGTGGGGAGATTTTTGTTATTTTTGTTGTAATATGATAAGACTTGAGCTGTAGAGGGTTGAAAAATCCCTTTTAAGCCCGAGGATTGGTATATTCTGCTATTTATTTGTTGCAGCTCGTGGCTTTTTAATGCTTGAATACATTATGTGTGTAAGTTTTTTTGGAATAGTGGGGAGAAAAAATTTGGCTATACAGGGTAAGTCACTTCTTTGGCAAATTATTGCCTCATTCTGTCATTTATTTGTTGTCTTTTTAATATGTTTCTGCATGCAACAGTTGTTTATTGGATTATCTTGCTTTCTTGTTATAATGTTAGTGGCATAAATTAGTTTCAATGCCATCTTTTATCGCAGTATATCTCTGTAGCAATATAACTAAATTTTTTATCATGACAGGCCTATCACAGTCCGATAAATAAAATGATTGGAGCATACTGGCCATGGGCAAAGCAAACCCCCAGTAATCATTGATACAGCAGTGCTCTGTTTGCTCCTTGATGCACATGCTCACATGGTTACAGCTCCAGTGATACAGCCACAAACAAAAGGCACCACAGGGGAAGTTGACTCAGTGAATGTTAAATAGGCACTGTATTGTGTGAGTGCAGGCAGTCGCAGGCTGAATTTGATACAGTGCTGTTAGTCCTGATTAGAGACAGTTAGGGGGCACAACTTTATACACCCGCCTCAAGGCTGCCATCGGGATTCCTCTACAACTGTTGACCTAGTTTCAGTTTTGTCAGTGTGCCAATGAATATACTTCAAAGCATTTCATTACCCTTCATGCAATTTGTACAAAATATTTAAATTACTCCATGGCAACAAACTGATACCAAATAAGGAAACATGTTCCATTTTGGACCATGAGTATCATATTGCGTTTTAATGACCAAAAAGTTTTCAACCAGCACAGGACTTGCTCAGACAAAGGCCCTTCTTACTAAAACTTGTCTCATACACTTCATCATTGTTCTCCCTTTGTGCTTAGTGCAAAATCCTTTTCCCAACAGGAATTATAAATGAAAAGCTCCAAATTCAACAACAATGATGCCAAATTTACCATTTCTGTCCCAGTTCTCCCCTTCAACACCTCTGCAGCCTAAAACCCTGGGAAATCTCTGCAAAGCGAGGTCTGCAACACCATACGGAGAATTCTAAACAAGTCACAGCATCATTCGTATTCAAACATGCCCATCGGCCCAGTGCCTGATTGGCTGAAGGGGCCAGTATGGTATGAGGAAGAGATCCAACGGTTTTCAAAGCCACGACCACCAGAAAACATGGTCTACTTTGTATGCTTTGGAAACAAGAGTTCATCCCACTTGAAAGCATAGAGAGAGTGAAGATTATTCAGTCAGGATTATGAACAAAAGGTTTGTTAATGTCAAAACAAACAAAAGTCCATATTAAAGTTCTCATAATATCCCCTTGCAATCAAAACATAAGTTTTTAAGTCATTAGATGAAGATGGGCAATAAACTGTCTACACTACAAGATAATATTAAAATAGCTGTTTTTGAAGATGTACTGTAACATTCAAACTTTAATTTTTCATCTATATTTTACAATAAATATTGCAAAACAAAGTGATAAAAAAGATTCAGTAAAAGTAAAAAGAAGGGTATAATTTTACGTTTCACTTTTTAGACGATACTTTGAACCTCAAGGTAAAAATTTTCATTTTTCTTTTATAGATTTTACCATAAATAATGTATCATCATTCATAATATGCGACTTCCCTTAAAATCACTCCTGAACAAAAGCATTTCACAGCTCTTGACTGGTATTCAAAATCTTATAAAAAAAATGTTTTCAGTTTTAACCATAGTTATGCTAACACACAAACAGTACATATATATCGTGGTAAATTTGACATAATAAAACACAAACACACCTCCCATTTATCAAGAGGGAGTTTCTCAGAATCAATGCCGTTTACGATTTGTGTGTCTCAACAAGCAAAAGAAAGTAAGCGACACCCAGGTAGGACAAATATATCCACATTTCCAATCTGCACTAGGTACATTCTTGTGTACATGAAAGTAAAAGTGTAACAGACACAGCAGTATTAGGACTGGGTGACATGGAGATAAAAATCTGATTGTGATCTAATCCCTGTGATGATCTGTTATTCTGGTGATATCATAATTCACTGATATTCTGTTGAATGTAGCTCTATGCTAGGCTGACACAATGACACAATAAACCTAAAGTAGAATTATGTTGTAAATGTAAAATATGGTTAAAAAACATAAACTACAATAAATAAATAGTAGAATGAAGCACTTTAGTAATTATTTTGTATCTAGAATGAGTCATAGAAATTGTTTATTCATCCTTCTACAGTTCAAATCTATTAGTGGAACACAAAAATAAAAAAAACAAAGTCCCTATGATAAATACTGACTTCCTCAAAGATTGTTCTAGCTATCATTTTTGAACGATAAGTTAATACAGAATTTATTGTGACAGGCCTACTCAAACACTCAAACACTTCAACCCACCCCCTCCTCATGAAAGAGATTACTTTATTTACTTCTTAAAGGTATTATTAAGATACTACCATAGACTATATAAAGTAGAGGACTAAAGGAGTGTGGTGTCACTCACTCATAGAATTCAGTCCAGTCAAATGAAGTTCACGATGATATAGGAACAAATTTGGAGCGAAGTTCCATATTAGGAATAGGAATTTATTTATGGACAAAATAGCTAAATGAAAACACCAGGATCATGTAGAGTGGCTTAATACAGACATTTTAAGACCAAAATGACCAGGCTCACTGCAGCAGTTACAGAGAGAGGGGTGACAAATTTTTCAATGTAAAGTAAATTGTCAATGAAGTCGATTGAGCCGGAAGCACCCCCATGTTCACTTCCTATTTGGAATGCAGCGGCTAGAAGGGTTAGCTATGTCAATTACAGTCTATGGATACTGCACATGAATGATGATAGAAAAAAAAAGTTATATTATTTTTGTCATATTTTTTGTCATATTTAAACTAGGGGTGTCAAATTATCGCGTTAATTGCGATTAATTAATTACAGTCATATTTAGCGCGTTATGTTTTTTAATCGCGTTAATCTCATTTTTAATCTCTAACTTTAGTGTTTCTGTATGTGAGTTTCTTTATTATAAAACCTGTTTTTATGTGTTGTTGGGACAACAACACACACACACACAGACACAAAACACATTTATAAATTTTTTTATTTCGGTAATTCCACTCATTGCCGGAAACCCCCACAAAACACGCGCAGTAACAGCGTAAGTAAACGTCATGTTAACGTTGGCGGCGTCAGTCGCACAATGGACGAGGTCGAAGAGCCAGTAGAACAGAGTCAGCAGCGCACAGGTAAAAACACATTCGTGTCTTGGAAATTATTCTCCCGACGTGAAATATAAAAGAAAATAACAAATATAATATCGCCTGAAAACAACCTGCATAGGCTCATGATCTCTGCACTACTGTCCTATAGTGACCTGCCACATGAGGGGACACGCACACAAACACACACAAACACACACACAAACAAACACACACCTTCATCATCGTCATTACCCTGAGAACGCGCGGACCACGTTTCCTTCCGTAGTTACTGCGCGGACATCGCTGTCCTCCCGTGAGCCGCGTGTGGATCGTGTTTTCTCGCGTACGCGGCGTAAACCGCGCTTCCTCCTGTGCGCCTCTAAACCAGAACTAACACCAAGACTAAAACCAGATCTAAACCAAGACTAAACCAGGACTAAAACCAGAACTAAAACCAGGTCTAAACCAGGTCTAAACCAGAACTAAAACCAGAACTAAAACCAGGACTAAAACCAGGACTAACACCAGGACTAACACCAGGACTAACACCAGGACTAACACCAGGATTAATCCTTTCCAGGACTAAACTAGGACTAAAGTAGGTCTAAACCCAGTGATCTCATATATAAAGCATTTCTCTATCAATAATATTTTTAATATGGTTAAGGAAAGACTGGACTTTTTATTGTCTTTAAGTAGACAAAAGTTATTATGTTCAGATTTCCTCGTCTTTGGTACTTTACAACAAACAGTTTCTTATTCATGGAGACTTGGGCTCAACAGCCAATTTGCAGAGATTTGTTAAACAATAAATGACTTTATAAAGTCACTTTTTAAAATCTATATTAGTCTTTTGATCTGCCACAATAATGTAATAATGAATTTAAATTAAAATACCTCAAATTGAAGGCTTTTCTCAGCAATTTTTAGGTGAGATTAAAATGAGATTAATTAGATTAATTAATTACAGATCATAATTAATTAATCTCTAAATTTTTTTAATCGCATGACAGCACTAATTTAAACATAACTTTCAGTTAGTCCACATGTCTAGGCCTGTCACTATAAATACCATATTGACTTGATAGAGTCTCAAAATATATTGATCAACCCATTTATTGGGTGTACTTTTTTTTTTTTGCAATAATAGGGGAGAATTTAGTTATTTTTATAGTAATACAAAAGGATTTGGGTTGTACAAGTATGAATAAGTAACTACTGTGGCTAATTATTGCTTCATTCTGCAATTTATTTGTTGCTGTTCAAGTTTTTAATGATTTTGTACATTTTGTTATTGTGTTAGTGGCATAATTATGTGAATATTACAGTTTATCACAGTATATCTCTATTATTAGTATTATCAGTAAAGTATTGCCTTTCTCAGTACTATGCTACAAACTGAAGTGTGAACTGATGTGATACCAAAGTGTTCCTCAAAAATTATTTATAATCAAGAAGTGTAAAATGAACACGATTTTCCAGCATATAAACAGCCCTCGGTAACTGTTTCCACGCACCCTGCCAAGGTGACACCTCGCTGCAAGCCTTCGTCCTTTCAAAATGCTCAACGCACCAACTGCCACTAAGATTTCCCACATTTAAAACACTACAACCACACACACACAAAAAAAAAAATCACCAAAAAAGTAACCAACGTTTCCATAATAACACATTATTAGTAATAGTTGCAGTCTTGGTTCAATTAGAAGCATTGAGTGACCTAATAATAACTGTTTGTTGTTATCCTCAATTAGAGAAGACGCTTTAGTGAGATCACATGGCACTGGCGGTGACTGAAAGCAGTTATGTCCTCCTCTGTGCATGGCTGCGATCCAAATTGGCACCACACAACACACCCTAAAACTACACTTACACCCCTCAAGCTACAATTAACGGTTTTGGTTCACAAAGAAGGAATTCTTTAAGCTAAAACAACAGCTTTAAGAGCTCTTAGAGGAGAGAGTTGAAATTGTGGCTGGGGTTTGTTTAGAAATACCCCACAGCAAACACAAAAGCTTACTCTGACATACTTTCGGATCACATGCAAAATTGTGTGCAAGTTATTATTATTTATAAGTACAAGCCAAGTCCAGACATGAACTTACATTTTAGTCATTCAACCACAAAGGGTATTCTCATACAGTCAAACATAATGAATTATTTATTTCATTATCCTTGTAGCATTTAGACTGATAATATTATGCAAAATTTGAATTGAGTCTGAAAAAAAGTACAAAAGGCCTACAATAAAATATGTATTTAAGAAACTTTTAGCACATGGATAATGGAATTCCATGTTCTCTAAAAAAGAATAAAATATACTAGATCCAGATAGGGATTAAAATTAGGAATAAAATAAACAAAACATATTTTACTTCCCTAACATGACATGTATAGAAATCTGGCTCATATTATTCTCCTTGCATGATACTAAAGGACCACCAGGACTTACATCTTAATGTACAAGCTCCAGTAATAGATAATGTTGGTGCAGTTTTACCAGTTTGTAGCCATTTCACCCTGCTCCACCCATGTCTACAGGAGCACCACATCAAAACCATGGCTTATGTGGGAACGCTGCCTTGAATATATGGGAACAGTCTGAGGCTCATATCACCTTGGTCATGCAACTGCCCAATTCATTTAATTATGCATAAAAAACATCAAGGCCCAAACATAGCCAGAATAGAAAGACTTTAAATGATGAGAGAGACAATTAAAGCCTGAGTAAGAATGGATAGCTACGCTACACTTCCTGATTAACAATACAGCTCTTGCCTCTCTCCACCCCTCCAAGCTTAAGTCAGTGTGTATTAAGAGTGTGGTTACTTCCCGTGTCGTATCTACTTCCTGTTAAAGAGTTCTGAACGATAGGAACTTCCTGTCAGAAATGATATGAGATGGACTGGCATTCAGGAGGTCCGCAAAGTACATAAAACAATACAAGTATCACAGCTATATGGAAGCATTAGCATATTTCAATGTGGATTATTGCTAAATGCAGCTGGGTGTTCCAACAAAGTTAAGTCACAAATAGCATAATTATAAATATCCACATTCAAGTCAAAAGAAAACAAGAGCTCAAACTGAAGTTCCCAACAAGCAGATTAACCAGCTAAACCAGTTTTTGAGTAAACGGCTCACAGCTCTGTGCAGGCCTTTTAACACAGCCAACTCAAACATGCATTTTATGGTAATGACTACAGAACAGACTGTTCATATTAATTATCATTTGGATTGTTAGGATAAAGATTGAATTATTTTATATGCAAGTCTACCAGAAGGGGAAACACATTGCATAGTAAAAGACCCAAGATTCAGGTCAGAGTGGCTGAATCTGCCAGGACTACAAACAATGACCTCATCTCCTCAAAATGTAACTCAGGCCTGTGGCTCAACCCCCCCATATTTGATCAGACCACAAAATGCACAAGTCTGTATCACAATGTTCTACTCAATTATTTGTAAGTAACATAAGTTGTATACACTGCAGAATACAATGGGAAGTCTTAAAAACATGAATACTTGGACTTAATGACAGACTTCCTCTATTGACCAGTAAAGGCTAAAAGCATCTCATGTCTGCCTCTGCAACCACAGCTCTGGAATAAGCCAGCAGGAAAAATGCATTGAGGGACTGGACAACAAAGTGGCAGCGCCTGAACCAGAGGGACCCGCACAGTGCTGATAGAGGAGAAAAACAGTTCATCTCTCCATAGAACCTTTCAACTGTCAGAAAGAACTAGCAACTGACAGACCTACACACATCCAGGGAGGCAAGCATAAACTGACAGTGACATGCAATGGAAACAAGCTACAGCTGCTTTTCTACCTCCATTGGGCACAACTCTTTACACCACCCATCACAGTCACTAGAGTTAAGAGTCTTGCCCAAGGGCAGAGAGTATATCCTGATGGAAGAAATGGTCAAACTGCCAATTTCATACAGTGTCATTTACACTTTAGACAAGCAAGAACATACAACAAAATTTTACCAAGTAAAATTGGGAACTTTGCAAGGCTAACCATATCAGTTTGGCTGTAGTTATCCTGGTACCCAGTTAGCCTGCCAGTTTGCTGATTCACAGAAAAGTCAAGTATTCTGTATTTCTCATTCTGTAATCCAAGTGATTCTTAAGAGATGTGCAATAAAGTAAGAAAATGAAGTTGTTAGTCAACAAAATAGCATGTGTGGTGCACAAACCCAGCCAATAAAAAGATGTTCCCTGAGAGAAGCAGCATTTAAACAGCACTTAAGTTCAGACAGCCATGTATTTTTATTCTTATTCTACTGTAAAACACAGTTTTCAACTACTTACTTACTTTAAATATCATTGGGTTCTAGGATCATGTCTTACCTCCAGCACAGGCCCTGCTCCCAGGATGGTTCTTTCGACCCCACTGGCATAGCCCTTTTGGCTAAGAGCCGTCAGGCAGTGGATGAGGAAGTTGGTGCTCTGGGTCTTGCCTGAGCCGCTCTCTCCAGAGATTACAATGCACTGGTTGACCCTTTTCCTGAGCATGGCATAGTACGCTACATCTGCAATAGCAAAGATATGGGGCTCCAGTTTGCCCAGCTGGTGGTTCTCGTACATCTTGACATACTTGGGATTGTAAATTGGCAGAAACTTAAAAGGGTTGACGGCGATGAGAATGCTGCCTGCATAGGTGTAAATCTTTTTCTTGTAGAAGCGTGTGCGCAGATTATTTAGTATAGTGTCCTCATTGAGGACAGGGAGGTTGCAGAGGTCTGCAAAATCGTCCTGTGGTGGAGGGAGGAAGCCCCTCGCGGCCAACTGCTGTACCTGCTGCTCCTTCGACAGTGGTGGGAGGTGCACGTAACGAATGGTGCCATCATGGTTCCTTTCCTGTAGGACAAATGAAGGGCTGATTTATCAGAGCTGCGGTGCTTAATTTTCAAACTGATTTTGAAACTTGGAGGCCAAAAACTAAACTTATGTTTTGTTTTTCAGAAGAAAAAGTTGGTTAAACCTCCTTTAACTGAATTCTTTTTGACAGTGTGTACATCATTTAATGACATCTGTTTTGAACTAGTACTACATAGGTAATGTTTGTACCTGTAGCAAGAAGTAGAAGCCCAGACTTTGAGCATGTTTCTCCTGGGCTTTACGAGGCCACAGCAGAACCCTTTGCACCGGCAGATCCCCAGCCTCCAGGATCCACTCCTCCCCTCCACTTTCTTTCACCTCTGCCAAAACATAAGAGCGCCCAGGGTCCAGCCCGAGCGCTGCAGCAGCGTCTGAGATCACAGAAGCTGCTGTGGAGTCCTTCTGCACTCTGACAACCAATGAGACAATGTTAAAAGATCTCAATCAACTTGAACTCCGTGACTTTTATAGAGTGTCTACTTACGTGAGGCAGCAGCAAGCAGAGGACAGAGCAGTTAGCCGGGGGTAAATCTGCAGCAGGTAAGAGCGGTTGTCGAGGTCACTGAGGCTGGCTGGCCCACCTCCCCCTCCTCCACCACCTGCGACCGTTGCCATGGTGGCAGCGCCATCTCTGACACTCATCCTGGGCCAGGGGGAGTGGCCTCAGCATGCCGCACACGGCCGCTCTCACCAGGCAACTCCTGCAACCCAGAAACACACATGCTCGTTTGACAGGGTTGGAATATCTCTCTTTAAAACAAAAATAACAATTATTAGTCACTGCAACAGCAAAGCGTGCTGCTGTCAGTGGGATTTCTCACATCTCTAAGGCTGCCAAAAAGAACACATTTCACAGATGAGCTCACTGATGGTGTAAACAGAGCCACAGACTCAATATGGCAATATTTTTACAGATTTACTATTAGGAAACAAAACAATCAGAATCAGTAGGGTTTTTATAGCAAATGCCAGTGAACAAAACTCACAAACTACAAAGTAGAAGCCCAATAAATGCAGGGTTCCATTACCAGCTAATCAATATGTAACTGCATCACTACAATGGTGGTATGATGGAGATATCAACACTCCTCACAGAACTCTTCGACAAAGTCTGATGTCTTTCTCTTTGATGAAATCATGGATCTTTTAGAATGTTGTGCTGTCAACTGTACCTATAAAACAAGTGGTTGACCTTACATTTGCACACACATCTATAGCTTATGTGGCCAAATCTTTGCACCCACCCAAGAAACAAGAGTCTGGTTTAAATTACTGTGACACTGCTTCAGTAACTTGATCCATCCATAGTCTATAGTTTATTGTGCTCATCATTCTGTAGAGCTTATTTAGACAAACTCAAAGTAACAAACTGTGTAAACAAAATAAACAGACCAGGGCACAATGAGCCTTTGTAGAAATTACATCTCAAACTCTTCAATTCCTTCGAAGTTTTATTAACTTTTTACACCCAACAAAACCCCTGTTGTTTTTATACAATAATAAATACTTTTTGAACAATCTGTAAAATAGTGTAATGGTAATATTTTGGTTGCAACCCCAAAAACATGAAAGAACTTCACAATGATGCCCAGTGTGAAAAAATCTGGATCATTTGTCACACTTTGATGAATTAAGGGAAAAATAGAGCAGCCTGAGTCTGGGGCTTGTGCCAGCACAGCTGACCACAGCCCCAGAAGCATGAAGCCTGTAAAACCAAAGCAAGGCATTCAAAACTACAGTGACCACAGACACAGCCTCCACATTATGCTCCATCATGGAGGGGCCTGCTGTAAAGATGTTCACATCCAGAGGTACAAGTAAAAGAAAACTGTACAAATGATCAAATATTGTGAAATTGAAGGTGTGTCAGTGTGATGAAAGAAGAGAAGCAGAAGAAGAGAAAAAGTCAACAGTCAGACAGAAAGAGAGAGGTCCCAGGACACAATCAAAGCTGATTGAGTCTCAGATTATATGGTCCCCCTGCCGAGAGGGATCCTCTGTAAAGATGGCTAGCATTCCTCAGATAAGACACCAGTCTGTTCTGCCTGGGCTTAGCCTGGCACTTCAGCTGCTTACAACCAGACACAACCCAGAGCATTAGACTACAGCAAAGTAATGAGGACTTCAGCTTAGCTTCCCTAACTAACATACAGCCCATGTGCACAGTGCATCCTGGCCCTTAAGTAGACTCAATATCTGCAGACTCACCATCAACTCAAACTCTACTGTTAAACTGTTGTTCAGCAAAATTACTTACATTATTATTTTTACACAAAAATATATTCAGTAATAATGTGTTAATTTGACACTCATTAAGTCTTGCTTTCAGAATGATGTCTCTCAATATTTTTTATACAGATTTATATCAGTCTACCCTCTGTAGCTTCTCAAGCCCAGACAAATGTGATCATGCAATCAGTGATACATGTGAAACAAGATCACCCAGGATTTACAGATTAACAGAGTTTAGTGCTTCACTCATTGATTCTGCAGAAATCAGCAAGGTTTTCCAGCCCCCCATGATATTGTTTTTCTGTTATTTTCTCCCAATACAGACAAACCATGTGTGTCCCAGATTGGCTAATCCAACTGTCAATCACACCCATGTGAAAACAGAGATTCACATGTGATCAGACTTGCGTCTTCATAAAATATCTTGAAGACGCAATCCAGTTACGATTATGTCAGTTTTGCTTTGATGTTTGCAATAACTTGTGCAATATGTTAACTCAGAAAAAGTTTATGAAAAGCTCTGGTTCTATTTTGAGCTGGCTGATGACATAACATCAGCCAAACATTAAAAGATATGTATAATATATGTTCAAGATATATAGACAGACAGATAAATAAGTCTTGAGACAATAGGTTGATTGACACACAAAACAGAAGTAAAACCAGCTAACTATGTTTGGCTCATTGTACAGACCACTTCCTAAAGCTTTAACAAAACAATGCCAAGTTCACAGTCCTGAACAAGAGAATGCAGAGGCAGAATAAGTCTCAGTTTATATCTCCCGCTCATCATCAGAGATGTGTTAAAGCACTCTTCTTGCAAGTCCTCCATGACCAAACACATGAACAGTCAATGCTGAGCCACCCTCCAGTCTCTGATCACACAGGAAGTGAATGACCAAGAGCCAAACCCCTCAGCTCTATTCTTTCTCCTATTCATAATATGTTCCTATGAACTCTCGTGCACTAAAAGGTTAGTGATGTAAGAAAGACACAGAGAACATCAAAGTAAGGTCAAATGTCAAAATTGTTTTGACAATACAAATTTACTGGTTAATTTTGCCATTGACTACATACATGTTTTATAATGGAATACATGTTGGTCATGAGCCAAACACAACACAGCTCCACTTGTCTGAGGCTGAGCGCTTGTGCAGTGAGAGGACGTGTGACTAAAGAGGTTGCCTCAGAGTAATGAAATGTTGTGAATGAGACAGTTATGACTCATTAATGAGTAGTAGGGAAAAGGCATCAAGTTTAAAATTATGTTAAATTTACCAAGAAGCCTATTCACGATAAACCAAAAATAGTGAAATCCTTCCAGAAGCAGCTTAAGTGACCTTTATGAAATCAAAACCTGAAATGAGAAAATAATGTTACAGGTAGTCGGACTTTTAAACTGAAATAACTTCAAATTATAATATTTCTTAAATAATCATGCATATCCTTTTAAGTCCTCACAATTAGATTCCTGAATGATCTGAGCTGGTGAGTAATATGCTATATTTGTGGAGTAGTGTGAAGTTACGTGACTTGCTGGTGTTTCATAACTTATTTATACATTCTGTCTACATGGTTCCCCTTTACATTATGCATACAGACAACAAGTAACAAGCAAAACAGCATATTAATAATTTATATCTGCTGCACATTAGAGTGAAAAAAATGCACCTGATCATAGGGCCCTCTCTGTTATGATCACTTTTCTATTGAGATCAACACAGCAATTTATCCATCTCGTAATGTGCAGTGGTTTGTATATGGATTTGGCATTGGTTTTACACCAGATGTTCTCAGCAAAGGTTATTTGGATTAAACGGTTTTGAAAAATGGAACAGTGGTTTTGACTTAATTAGCACATCTTAGCATTCTTCTTGTTCACAACACAAGCAATCTGACTTGAAAAAAGGGATCCAAATCATGGCATTGATTAAATTAAATCTCCGTACTCATTCAGAAACCATCTGCACATGATAAACGTTCACTCCAAACTTTGTTAGGACTGTGCACCACCTGAACATCTGTGTTTAAGTTAAATATCATCAATTTGTTTTACTCAGGATTTCAAACATTTGTGCCTCAGCCTCTCCCAAGGGAAAGTGGAGCAGGGACTATTGAAGTATCCATCAGCAGTCCTCCTCTCCACACATGACCTCATGGAGATGAGAGAGGCTGGCTGAATGCCAAAGGAGGCGGTGGGTTCAGTGAGACACTGGAAAAAAGCACTGTACATTTGGTGTGTGCATAATTCTGACGTGTATTCTACCTCCTGGGCGTGTGTCACTACAGATTCATAAATTCATAAAGACTGCTCCTATGCAGCTGTATAGAACTAACACCAGCCCTGGGGTATCCACTCTATAGGAAGTGCAGATGCCCCTGTGATGGCTGTGAATGGATGCAGGGCCCTCCCACCAGAGCCATGTGGTCTATTCACAAAGCAAACCTTTTGTTTACAACAGTCCCAAACCTCAGGAATTAACTCATGCTGCAGACACAAGCTCAATAAGACGTACACAGATCGAAAAAAGAGAGAGTGAGAGGAGAAGGGGAGAAAAAAGGGGGCACTGAAAGCTTGGCTCCTCCCCCTGCCTTTAGGTCAGGTCCTGGGACAGCCATCCATGAACAATACAGGCTGAGGAGCATCTGCTACTGGGGTATTAAGAAGTGAACTTGTTGATGTTCTCAAAAGTTAATGTTTTATGAAAAAAATAACTTGCAAACATTGGCCAACCGTTATACAATGCACAAAGTCAATCAGTGTGTGGCCATCATAGAGCTCTCCATTGATTTGTCCACTTTCAATTTGAGCATTCTGAATGTAGTGTATTGGCTGACTTTAACAGGCAGTCTGCTGCTCATTTCACATCCCTCCGGGGCAGTTATGACCCCGATCACGCGTGTGTGGTAAATATGATTCAAAAACATGGATGACCTATTTTCGAACAGCTTGAAATTATCAGCCAGTTCTGTTTTCTCAAGGCAATCCAACATTAGTCTTGGGCACTGCTTAATAAACTCCTACTTTATGTACACATCACAGCGGGTCAGTAATCCGTTCGGCCTGTGAGAGACTTCCCATCGGTTTAACTGCCTCCTGAAGTACGTCCACAGCGACTACCATGCCTCCTGTCTCGTGTGGAGGGTCTCACAAAGGACGCTGCCCCCACCCTCCCCGCTGTGCACCCCCCTCCGCTCAACCCCCTACATCTGACATTTGGTACGACTGCTCTAACCCAGTCCAGATGCCCGGTCACACTGTGGAAAAAAAGATCAGTCTAGAACTGTAAATACCTCCATACTGGTGCTCTTGGTTTACTGATGGTCTTTTAAAGTCAAAGAGAACAGAAGGTCAGGCAGCTAGCACCAATATGTGAATGCAAGACAAATGTAATAAAACATGTTTTCAAATAACAGCTAGGGCTGGGCAATATGATAATACAAAAATCTAAATGTGATCGGATCCCAT